CCGCGGTGGGGCGGACCCTGGCGCGTCGGTCGCTGGGGCTGGGGGCTGCGGCCTGGCCGAGGCTGCAGAAGGAACAGAAGGGCCCAGAGGAGCCAGAGAGGCCCGGGCAGGGACGGTCTGGGGCTGTGAGACGAGGGAGCCCGGCCGAAGCGGGAGATGAGAGTCATGCAGCGCTCAGGAACCTCCACGGCCTCCCCGTCGCCACAGGACCAAGCTCCAGCGTCTTCGCGGTCTCATCTCCCTCCCCCAAGTACCCGCCGTACTCTCCACGCCAGACGCCTTGTTCCTAGATCTGCTGCTCATCTTGACGCCTCCAAGCTTTTACTCTTGATGTTCTTCTCCCGCTGGCGCTGTCCCCCGGCGTTTTCCCTGGAGAACCGACTTACAGCCAAGGACTGAAACATATCTCTCTCTCTCTCTCTCCCTCTCTCTCTCTCTCTGTCGGCCCCTACACAAGACGAGCAGTTCCCCGCACCTCCTCTAACCCAATACATATACCTGATCCCGGGTTGCCTAAAAGCAAAGCATTTTCCTTTGCCACCTGTGCCTTTCAGAAACCTTTTGATTTCTGACTGCACGTTGGACACGAAGGGCCCAGAGTCCAGCTCACCTGTTTCTCTCCCCAGCCACCTCCCCTCTCAGATTCCACTCCTCTCCTTTTAGTTCCTGGCCGGAAGAAATCTTCTCACCCTTGAGCCTGGGGCAAGGCCATTCCTATTCCTCTCCCCACATTCTGTCTCCTGTGTCCTGGCCAGGCTTTGAGTGAGGCCAGAATGAGTCCAGCATTTTCCTGCAGAATAGCATGAGGGTGGCCTGCCCTGTCTGCCACTTGCCTGCTCAGACAACTCTGGAATATCACCTTCCTGCCCCAGTTGACTCCCATCCTCTTTGGGGGGCCTCCAAGTATGCAGTTAGTGATCTGCTCCACATTAACTCAGAGGAGGGGTCTCAAGGGGCACTGCTGGGCCTCCTACCACCCCAAGTGTCCCTGACCTCTTTCCTCTTTCTCATCCCTTTCTCTTTGTGCCCTTCTCCCTGCAGAGGGGCTGCCATTCCCACCCAGACTTCCCCAGGTCTCAGCTTTTATTTGAAAGTAGGTATCCCCTTAAGGTGAATTCTTACACTAGCCTCTTTCTCCATATCTTTCCACTCTCTAGGTTCTTGCTCCTCACAGTATGGTTGGTCCCTAGAACAGCATTGTTGACATTACCTGGGAACTGATTGGAAATGAAGAGTCCTAGGCCCTACCCAATGCTGCTGAATCAGAACCTGCATTTTGACAAGATCCAAGGTGATCCTTACAGACACCGCATTTGAGAAACAGTACTCTAGAGAATCCCCAAAGCTGTTCAATACTTGGTTTGCTTCTCTCTCCAGCCTTTAGATCTACCCCCGGCTCTCTCATTTTCAGCAGTCACCCTACTTCTTACCTAATGGAGAGGACTTGGAATCTTGGCAGAGCCCTGCTGGCACTCTAAGTGGTCCATGGGCCTGCTCTTTTCTCAGTCTCTTCATCCATCCTTTTCTCCCACCTTCCGCCTTGGAGACAGATGTGGGACCTCTTTGCTCAGTCTCCTGCCTTTCCTGAGGTTGCCCCATCTTATCTCTTACTCATGTAATGATCCTCCCTCTTTTCTCTGCTCAGATCTCCCCATTCTTAAAAGAACTGTTCCTTTGTCCCCACCACCTCCCTTCATGCCTGCCCCTCCTGTGTCTGAGCGCAGTCACAGAAGGTATCCACTGAGGACACCGTGCCAGGCCTCAGTGAGCCTCTCCCCAGCCCTACTGGGCTGGCTCCCTCCCAGCTCTGCACTGACCACTGCTGCTCTAAGACTCTTGAGGTCTCTCTTGGGCTCAGGCCCTCTGCGCTCCCTAGTTGGTGGGCTCTCCTCTCCATCTCTTCTTTTCCCTCCATGCCTGGGAAAGCCATCCTGATGGGCAGAGCACAGTCTTTTTCTCTTCTCAGCTACTGAGCACCCAAGGTGCTGGGGTTGGCTTTCTCCTTCCATTCTCCCCTCGGAGAACTCATGTTCTTCCACAGTCTCAGAGGCTGTCTTCAGAAAAAATGGTCTCCCAGAGTAGGCATCGCTCTTGCTTATGTCAGTCTTGAATATCAGTTGGGTGAAGACAGATGGGCTTAACCTTGAGGAGGAGAGGGGGCATTGACTCCCGGAAGGGCGCCTTTCACAAGTGGCTCTGCCCCCAGGCCAGGGGTGCTGCTTGGTCTCCACACATCCATTGCCCACAAGCCAGCTCTTCCTCCTGACTCCCCTGTGTCTGTGCTGACACCTCCTCCTGCTGCCCTCCAGGTTTGGGGCTCAGGAGTCTTTTTTTGATACTTTTCTCCTCCCCAGCTACCTGTCTGTCATGTCTTAAGGATTCTCCCTTCCATGTCCATGTCCTTCTCCCTACCCCAGTGCCCATAGAGAATATCTTTAACAGTGAGACCACTTGTCCTCCACTGGACTCCACCCTGGCTTGGAGGAGGCATAGAACTCCCCAGTTATGCCCACAGCCTCCTCCTCTAGCTCCCTGCCCCAGCTGCTCACTCCCAAACACTCCCCATCCTCCTGCTACAGTTTTTAAAAATGTTGCTTGGATTGGGCCATTGCCCACTTAGAAGCTATTAAATGTCTCTTGTGGCTCCCCAAGACATTTAGGGACTCAGTTTAGGAAAATCCTAGACCCTTTGATACCCAATCCAGTTTCTCTTGCCAGCCAGCTTTCCCTCCATCTCCTTGCTACGGGAGTTACTTCCTTGTCTGACATAGAAGATCTCACAATTTCCCAAACACAGCTGCCCCACTCTCACCCCATTCATTCCTTTACTCTGGCTGTCCCCTCCAGCCTGAATGCCTTCATTTTTGCCATACCTTGCTGCTGGGAGGCAAACAGGTTTATGTTCCTTTTCATTATGGTCAAAATATTTTGGTATTGCAGATCATCGTGGTTCTGGAAGATGCTTCCCAAAGCAGATTTGGGCGATAGGGGTTTAGAATTAACCTGGGAAGAAGGGGGCATCAGTCAGCCCAGGAAAGTGGCTGGGACAGATTTCTGACTTGTATCGGTTTCCATTCTATCCTTCTAAACACACAGAACAGGGGGAAACCAGCCAGGGTGGTGTTTGAGGCTTCCCAGAGCCTGCAGCCCCAGAGATAGGTTTCTGGGTCAGAGATGCTGAATCGGGCAGCATCTGTGGCTCAGTGGGCAGGGTACCGACCCCATATACCAAGTGTGGCAGGTTTGAACCCGGCACTGGCCAAACTGCAACAAAAAAATAGCCGGGCGTTGTGGCAGGTGCCTGTAGTCCCAGCTACTTGGGAGGCTGAGGCAAGAGAATCACCTAAGCCCAGGAGTTGGAGGTTGCTGTGAGCAGTGATGCCACAACACTCTACCGAGGGTGATAAAGTGAGACTCTGTCTCAAAAAAAAAAAAAAAAAAAAGAAAGAAAGAAAGAAAAAAGAAAAAAAAAGAGATGCTGAACCAAGACGCAGGGTACCTCTTGGGCGCTGGGGAAAGGGGATAGGGACAGGCCAAAGAACAATTCTGGGTCAGCGGTTAGCATCCCTGCTTTAGATCCAGTGGGAAGTCTGTTTCTTGAAATTCTGTGTGTGTTTAGTATATTTTATTATATAAAGAACCTTAGTTCTTACTTATATAAAGAACTTTAGTTCTTTAGTATATTTTCCCTTTCCAATTACTGCAACTTCTCCATAAGTAAGGAATTTGGGGTACTGCTGTGGCTGTGGCCACAGAGAGCTGCAGGAGAGGTGGTGACAGAGGAAGGTGGCAGGCTGCCCACGAGAGGACCTGCAGAGCGGAATGACTGGTTTGCAGCACTTGCTTCAGGGTGGGAGGTGTCAGCACCTGGCAGGCCATGCTGGTGCCTGACAGGCCGTGCTAAGGAGCTCCGGATGTTTTTCTGTGGGCCTGGTCCTTAAAACTATGGCTTTTTGTTTGTTTTTTAATCAGCGGAACTTTTTTTTTTTTTTAACCCA